CAACTATCCAATGCTCCTTTTTTCCCCTCAAATATTTCTCTTCACCACCAATGGATCAATATACCCCGCAGTATTTAATTCATCCTTACATAGTCCACCCCCTCAACTAACTTGTACCACTCCTTTTAGGCAAATGTCTGATCCAAAAGAAGCCATGGTAGAAAATATATATCAGGACATACACATGATCTGATTTTGCTCTGAAATATATTTAAACAAAGTTGTGAGAGTTCCCAAATTAGTGAATTCCATCTCCCCATTAAATTCCTATAAAATTCAGGGATTCACAGAGAGACCCAAAAACCTTGCATGAGAAATATACTGAAACAGAAGCCAGCCCTGTGGCTATAAAAGTAAGCAGCTCTGAGTGTAGCAGAAGCCATGGCTTCTAGAAAGAGTTTATTCCTTCCCATCACTCCAGCACACAATTAATTCACTGCCCAAACGTGAACTGAGTCTAAGTTGCGATCATCTCCCACCTGGACTACTGTAACGGCATCCTATCCAGTCCCCGCTTCCACTCTTGCTTCCTCTCTCTAGACTGCAGCCAGAGCGGTTCTTAAAATACAAATCTGTTCATATCATTCTCCTCTAATGACTTACCACTACACTTGGAACAAAATCCAAACTGTTTACCCATGGGCCACAATTCAGTGCCCTACCTGATCCGCTGTCCACACCTTGCTGACCTCCTGCATCACCACTTTCTCCCAGCTCGCTTGGCCACACAGCCCCTTGGCTTTTCCTCATGTAAGCCTCAGGGACTCCTCACTTGCTGTGTCTCCTGTGTGGACTGTTCTTGCCCCAAACACCTGCATGGTACTCCCCCTCAGTTGATTCAGGTGTCTGCTCAACTGTCACCTCATAAGAGGTCTCTTCCAATCACCCTATCTAAAATACCACCTCTTGCCCACTATCCCCAACACTTTCTAACCCTTTAGATGTTCTGCTTTATTTTTCTCCAGTTCCCTTATCACTACTTGGTATTATATATTCATTTGTTTACTGCCTGCTTTAGCCTGGCCAGAAAATAAGCTCCATGAGAGCATCAGGGTCCTCTGCTCACTGCAGCACCCCAGGGTCTACAATAGGGCCTGGCACATGGAAGGTCGCTCAGTAAATACAAGTTGAATGAATGAATAAATGAATTTTAAGTGAGCACTTTCTATGTGCCAGACTCTGTACCCAGCAGTGGGATATAAAGACGAATGATGAATAGGATCCAGTCTTTTCCCTTGAGGAACTTAAAATCTAGCAGTGAAGGAGACACATACACAAGGAATAGAATGGACTGTGACATAAACTTGAAGTGTTCGAGGGAAGCTGTGGAGTGGAGAAGCTAGAGATGAAGTAGGACAGATCGGGGCCTGATTATGAAGAACCCTGAGCTTCATGCTAAGGAATTGGGCCTCTATCTGAGCCCCCACTAAGGTGCATCTGAGCACATCACTAAGTAGGAATGGAAAGAGGCAATGAATCTGAAATTAGAATTGACAGAACTTAGTGACTATGTATATAAAAGGAACTGAGGAGTTCTAGGTTTCTAGGAAATTCCACCACCCTCATAAGAGGAAGAAGAAGTTGGAAGGGAAAGATGACAAATCTGGTTTTAGACAAGTTGAGTTTGAGGTACCTATGATCACCATACTAAGCCATAATGATTTCTCTGGTGGCTGGAAAACCCTTGACTTGGAAGTTCTACGATCCTGCTCCTTGGCCTCTTCTTTGCCAAGTGATGACAACGTCCTAATAGAGCTGAGCCACACGTATCACACACAGGGGCCACCGTGTTAGCCATGATTTAGCCATGCACAAGAAGTCTTACCAAATCTGTAAGTTTAACATATTCTTGATCATGCTTTCTAAAAACAAGGGATATTTCTTTTGGAGTGAAGTCTGATACAAATGCAGAGATTTCCCAGGAATTTTTCCTAGTCAGTGGCCTGAAAGTCCAATTCTAAATGAGGAGACATTATTTACAATTCTAATAATCAAAAAGTTCTCCAGGACAGGCATTATTGTTGCTTTCCACTTTGCAATGTCACGGAAATCCCATGTGGATATTTGTATATATAAACATATACACACACAGACATGAGAGGGAGATGGTAAGAAAGAAAGGAGGCCAAAAAAAAAATTTAAGTACATAAAACAAAACATCTGTTTAATAGTAAAGGACAATTGTATATCACATAAAGATAGAACCAAATGTCACAGTGTCACAAATTCAGCATCAAGGTTTTCTAGCACTTCAAACAACTGGATGAAGATGGGGCACATTGCCCAAATTTCAGTGATCTCATTTCTTAGTGTTTCTACAGTTTCTCAAAAAGTACAAGAAATAGAAGCAAGAAGCAAGAGACTAATTTTTAAAGGGCTCCAAGACTCTTAAAATCAAAGTAAAATGCTCTTTTGGGATTACCCACCAACCAGGCTTCACTCTGAGGAGTTGTGTAAAATACGCCTCCTAAGTGGCAAACCTCCTGGTGGAGCTTGGGGAGAGGGGTCAAGACTCAGCAGAATCAAGCACAAAAAGAGAGAGAGGTTAACTCTGTTAAAAAAATATTCCAGACCCAGAAAGGTTCCTCAACATGCTGGATAAATAAAACTGCTATACTGCAACAGCAATTAACTAGCAACAAGGGGTCTCTCTGACACTAAGAACATTTTCATCTTCTTTATGAGAGTAGAGAAAGGTAGTCCATCAATAACACTGCTTGGTGTGTCAACCTGCATCTTTCTTCCTACCTCTTACTTGTCTGCTGTGCCACATACACTGAGGAGAGGCCTCAAGGAGGGAGACGGGAAACCAGGAACATGCCCCAGTAGAAGGACAGGGGTGGGGATGCTTAGGATAATCACAACAGTTGACTTCCATTTCCCATGTTCCTATCCTGCCAACATGGAAACCAGAGAGAAGACTTTAAAGAATCCCTAGTTGGACGTATTCTGGATTAAAAAAATGCTCTGCAGCTAATAATAGTCAAACGTAACTGGCCCATTCAATCATGTTAGAATCAAACAAAACATAGTTGTGTAGAACAATAGAAATCATCTAGACTGAGAGGCCCTTATTTTATCTGTGAGAAAAACCAGGCTCCTGAGATTCAGAGATTTACCCATACCACCCAGTATGTTTGGGCATGGCTGAGGCTGAACCCAGGCTGCCTGCATCCCAGCCTGGGGTTAATTTTGCCCAAGGCGTGAATCCACTGATTTACTGCTGTTGAACAATTTAAATGTACAAGTGACTACAGTATTGGCAATAAGTACCAGTAAAACACAAAATTAGAAAGCTTAAAGCGAAACAGATTTGAGGAGAAGTCCCTGCTGAGAGAAATATAAATAACAATAAAGAAGTTGGCCCTATGGTTAGGTGACTTCCTTAGAACAAGAACAAAATTATTTAAAAGTCACAGTTTTGTGAAAGATTTGAACTCACGTGTGGTATGACTTACACAAAGTTATATACTGGGACAGTAAACGATTTGCTTATTTGCTTGCATGTAAGACTTTTGATGAAAAAAACACAAAAACTCACATAAACAAAACAACAAACATCAGGAAAAACCCAGGAAACATAATTTAGTTGACCTTGCCTTTGTGAACGGAAAATCCAGGCATTTTTTTTCTAATGGGCTTTTAGGAAAAAACGTTTAGAAGTCAAAAGTTTAAAGGTCAAAAGCAGAACTGAACTTTGGCAGTTGAATGAGTAAATTGTGAGCATCTCATATGTCTAAAGCCTATTTGTATCTATTTAGCCTCTTAAAACTAAAGCAAACAAAAAAAGGCCTTCCACCAAATCAAATGAAGCCTAGACCATCATTTCTACTTCAGATTTACCTTAAACTCTAGGACTGCCAAACCAGCCCCCAAATAAACAATGGCCACTTAAACAACTTCCTTTACACAAGTTAAAATAGTCCTTTCCTGACAAAGAGGCAGGAACTGCTTTTTTTCCATCTGCAGATATGTAATTCAACACGTGAAAAAACACAGTCCTTATGGACACACCGGGAAAAAACTCATCAATTCTGTCACATCAAGTTCAGCATCAACTCTGTCTGCATTTTGTTTTCTGGATTTAAGACGATTTCCTTAATGTTCAACCATGCTGTGGGTTGTGAAACAGAGTTCACCGGAGAGAAACTCAGATCCTTAACAAACCCATTTCCAACTTCCGTGCACGGAAGCCATAAAGATGTTCCGCTAATGGGAAAATCAGACCCAATGAGGAGGGCAACGTAGGTGTTTAGTTTGCTACAGGCAACCCAAGCAAACAGGCTGTCTGAGGGGGTCTGTGTTGAGTTTAGAGCTTGGGACATGAAAGCCACTTTGGATCCACTTGGAATTAAAAGGAGGTGCCTATTTAAAATACCAAGATACTTGAATGGAATAGCCACCTATCGCATTAGGTGCCACATATTCTAGAAGGTGGAAAGCCATGCAAGTTCATCTGTATTCCACCTACTTAAACAAAATCATTCCCTGAGGGTATCATTTTACCAACAGCCCAAGCCACTCTGGAAGAGCTGTTCTGAATTCTATATGTGAAACCTCTTTAAATACATATTGCTAAGATTCCAGGTGTCTGACGCTGTGTGGGAAAAGCTATACAGCCACTCACAGTGTTCAAGCCACTGTCAGCAATTTATTTCATGGGTTAATAACACCAAGACTGGGTAGTCTATCTGTGGTTCAATAGTCTGGACTCTCTGAAGGTGTCTGAGGGTTTTCTTTCCTATGACGTACCAATAGAAGAACATCATCTCTAACAATCCTATTCATCACTCTGTATGAATCTTGTAAAAAACAGGCAATAAACATGGCATTTTCTTAAAGCCGCCAGACCTTTAGTTGGGTATGTGGTTTAAAAAAAAAAAGGAAATACTATACTTTGATTCTATTGCTTGATAAATTTCATTTCCAAATAATGAATATTAGACATCTGCAGTGCAAACCCCCTAATCATTGAACCTGAGAGCTTTTGCTTTACTTACTTGTATTTTAAGAGCAGCCACTGAATTAACCAGAGTCCTACAAGGATCATGCCGTTAATTTCACAAATAGAAAAGGCCCACTGCACCCGGTTAAAATGGTCAAAAAACGTGTCCGGTAGTGGAGGCTGCACCTCCTTAGGAGGTACTCGTTCATGGACGACCGAGATCATCACTGTGGTGAGAACAAAACAAGAAAGTGCATAAAGAAAGGCCAGAAAAGTCTTGCCCCACTCCATGGGGTACTGGGAGCGCTCTGGTTCTGGCATGGGGATCTTGATCATCTCCTTCCTAAACCCGTTTGGCATCCCGTTGGGTTTGACCTTGATGCTGAAGCTGCCGTCGGGGAAGAGGACGTCTGTGCCAATGCTGAGGTGCCCGTTGGCGTGGCCGTTCTTGTGTGCTTCCATGTGGTGCTCCATTTTCAGGGTCTCTATCATGTCCAACAGCCGCTGACCATTGTCGGACGAGACTCGGCACAAGGGGGGTTTTGTGAAATCCTCTTGGGTTAGGTTGATCAAGTCCCGGCCTGCGAAATGTTCCAGAGGCTCACAGTATTCTGGCATAGCATTCTCCAGCAGCCAGTCTGCCACCTTCTTGGGTGACCAATAAACCACTTCCTTCATTGTACTGGCAGCCAACATGCAGTCCCCAGCTTGTTTCTGGCAGGTCAGCAGTCACCGTTCCTACAGAGCAGGACACTGTCCCATCGCAACGTGTTCATCCTGTCGGGCCTCATGACAGAGACTTGTGTGCCAAGGTGGTCAGGACAGTTTTTAAACACCTCATGTAGCTGTCCAGGATTCTTGAGTGCCTGAGCGTCCATTCACCTCATTTTTGAACAAGATTTTTCCTTCTGTGGAGGAAAGAAAAAAAGTCAAGATAACTGGGACTTCAATCTCCCCAAAATGTAAAAACTTAACACGCATAAGGAAAATGGAAAACTAGTTATTGGTAAAGCGCATAGTTTTTAAACATATATTAACAGTTTAAGGGATCACTAATTCTCTGGTTAGTTTTCCCTGAAAGAGCATTAAATTGGACCTGAGCGAGGACAAAGTCAAAGGGGAAATGTTTTACAGCCTCTCCAATGATGTATTTTCCAAGAAATAATTCAACAGTGCTCTGGGCACTGTTCAGTACAGATCAGTGATTCACTCTGCACTTACATGCTTCCTGAGATAATCTGAAAGAATAGGGCAAGTTTGCTTAAGCTACCATTCTATCTGGTGAAGAAATGTTTTAAGATGTACATAACACATAGCAACTTAACAGATATCATAGAAATGTTGAGCTTCAAGATCATCTGGTCCAAGAATTTTATACTCATTCACAAAAAAATCAATGAATCCTTTTTTCCAAATGTGCTTGGACCCCAAATCTACAAAAGAGTTACAAATGCAGCTGCTTGGGTTGAAACACAGGTGGAGTGAAGGGCCAGGGTCCTCCCTGCTTTGCTGACCTTTCTACTCCCAGCCCCTTGGCAGTTTCGTGGAAATCAATCCCACAGTTTCAAAACCAATGATCTGATCCAACTCCCTCATTTATAAATGAGGAAACTGAGTTCCAGAAAGGTGAAGGAACTTGCCCATGGTCAAGTGGTAGCTTGCATGGAAGAGTTACAAGTTAAGTTTCTGAGTCCTAGTTCAGTGTATTTATCTATTAAAATACTTAACCAGCTATGTGGCAATAACCAAAATACACATCTGCAGGAGAGATTCAAAATTTTGTAAATTTATATACGTACAAACATATGTATAAATAACATATCTCTATATATTTAACCACAACTATGGTTAAGGAACATAACATTGCATAAAACAATTGGAAAGAAGTACATCACATATTAATGAACTTACATGAGATGATGGGCCTGGGGGCATTTTCTACTTTTCTCTCACCTACTTTTCTTTAATAAGCATATATTACTTCTATAAAAATCATTTAAGATTAAAAAACAAGAAAAGTTCAAAATAAAAGAACTAGCTCTATAACAAAGCATCATGGTTAATGAAACATAGTCTTTGGCAGAAGACAGATCATAGTCTGACTCTCAGCACCTCTCATGCATAACCCATTAGGTGAGTGACAGCTTATTCACCTGTAAAATGGGTATAATCAAATATCTCCTTCACAGGGTTGTTTTCAGTATTTAAAAAAACAAATGTGAATGTTGATGATACATAACCTAGCACTAAACGGGGTCTGTTGGCACCTACATCCTTTTTTTCCTTTCTCAAATTTCCCATCATATCCAGTCGCTACTATCCACTACATCTCATGTAGAAAACACTCTGTCCAACAGTGGGCTAACTTTTTTTTTCTCAAATGAATGTTGTGTTAACTGCAAAAACACTTGCACAGATCTGTAGGTTTAAGAGCTGGAAATTACTGGTGGCAGTGTTTCCCTCAGTATACTTTGTGGAATAATAATCTGATAAAATGCTCCAAGCTTAAAAAAGATGTATATCCAAATAAGCCTAGGAACTGCATGCTATAATCTCTCCTAGGCACAGCAGTACACATTAGCATGTTAAAAGCTCCAGGAAATCCTCCAGTAAAGAAACTGTTTACCAGGATTTCTCAAATTGACTTCATCAAGGCTGTCCTCCTCCTTGCCCTTTTTCCTCCCCACTAACTCCTACTAACTCCCTATGGAACACATTGGGACAAACAAGACCTGAACTCACGTCTTCTGATTTCAAAGTCCAAACTCATCTCTACTGATTTCTCAAATCTGACTCTGGAATGAAGAAGGACAATCTGTCTGCTCCCAATTTCCAATCCAAATAACATTCAATCAAATTGCAATAAAGCTTAAAAAGTATTCCAGACCTTGCAAAAGAGTTGGGCATTCTCTCTTCTGAGCATCTACAGTGCTGCGCACCCTCCCTATTACACTCCTTTGTGGTTAAGTGTCAGTCTAGACTCCCCCAGGAGTCTATGAGCGACTGTGGAAGGTCTACAATCTTAAGCATCCACATATCTCACATTCCCAGGGCTCAAAAGGTACTCAATCAGTATCAGTTTAATATCTCAGGAAATGTCCCTTAGACCTAGCAACATATAGGTGGTTTAATGGCAAATAAACCTACTAAAAATGCCATTGATATTGAAAACTGCTTTAAAACAATTTGGATGGTCAAGGAGAATAAGGAGTGCATTCTCCGGAGAGAAATATGACACCAAAGTGAATGTCCGACCGCTTAAAAACCACTGCAGAGGTGCTTCAGTGGGTCACTAGTACCGCCCAGAGTGACAGGAAGACACAAACGCCAAATGGAGCCCTGGAAGAAGACTCTGCAGGCAAGGGGATCTCCTGGCATCACTCTCCAGGCCTCTCCCCAAACACTCTTCAGTAGAATTAGGATAACAATCAAGGGAATCCTCAACATCTTGAAGTGGCTACGAGAATTCTCAAAAAAAACATCTCAGTGGAATGCTCAGGCCCAAGGAAATGAACATGAGCTCTTCACATAGGTTCTTCATTTTTCCCCCAGGTCCAACACAGGAAGGCTGCCAGGATGGAAATCCCCTCAGAACCACAAGACTAGACCAAGGCCCATGCGTTATTTCACTGCTCTCTGATGGGGGGACAGTCAGACAATCTCCTAAGATATAATAATCTTTAAAATAGAAAATAATCAAATGGTAGGAGACAATACAGGGCCATCACACACACACACACACACACACACACACTCATTCTGGTATTGTGAGCCTCCATCCAAATGAAGGAATGCTAATCCTGCAAAGGCAAGTCCATCAAGCAGTTTCTGATAGCCAACGGGTCTCTTACGAGACAGCAAGATAAATCAATGATTTCTATTAATCAGCTAGGACAACAAAATTGTTCACTCCTTCAGACAGTCCCTGTGCTTTCCCCCAACCTGGAATTCTCCACCTACTCCTCTTCAACAAGTCCAGGTTCTTCCCTTAGTCGTTAAGGTCCTTCTCTGCAAAGCCTTTCCTGACTACTTCACAATCCTTTCCCCATTCCTGAATTCCTACACCACTAACATCTGTGACACACAATATAATTTAATGATCTTGTGTGCCTGGTGTGGTAGAAAGAGCACCAGCTATGTGAGTCACAGAGCCTGCAGTCGAGATTGAAACTCAGCTACTTTCCTTCTTGACCAAGTCCTTTAACCTCTCCAAGCCTCCGTTTCCTCTAGAAATTATAATTAACAACTACCTTACCTACCCTCACATGGGCTGCTACTGCTGTGAGGATCCAATTGTGTAAAAGGAATGAAAGCTATTAATTCCTGCAAGAAATATGTCTTGTTCTTTTTGTAATGTCCTGCTGCCTTTCTGATACCCAATTGGGCCCATGTGACATTTCATAAATATTTACTGAAGCAGCCACTTCTGCCACTTCCAAATTTCATGAGACAACAATCCTTTATTTTCAAGCAAGCTTTGAAACTTGAAAATAAAGCATACATGCTGTTTTCCTGCAGCTGATAGCTGAAATTGTGCAAAAGGGGAAAAGCTCATTTCTATGGGAGTAACTGTTGCACAGCTAGTCAGTACTTCAAAGGCCACTGCTGTAAGGTGAGGACTTACTCAGAGACTCCAGAGCCCAGCTGCAGGAGGAGAGGCAAGAAAGTGACGACCCCCTGGACTCTCACACTCAATTTAGAACATATTGCAGCGTTTCTGAAAACAGAAAGGCAAAGTGTTTTCACATCTGGACCCAGAAGACTGTACATTAGGCTGGGCTCAGAAAACAACAACTACAACCATCATCCAGGAAAGCCACCCTGAATCCATTCCTGGGAGAATGTTAAGAACTAAAGTATAGCTCAAATCATTAGACTTATTTCTGACAACTGGGAAGAAATAATAGAAGAGTAAAAACTGTACATGAACTCTTTATACTAAAATACCACAGAATTTGAGAGACAGAAGAGGTGCTGGAACTCTCGTTCATCTGTAATTTTTAGACATGAGTAAACTAAAATCCAGTGAGACACTGACTTGTCTAAAATCTTATCCATGGCAACAACTGGTCCTGGGGCTAGATGGAGACCCAAGATGCTTTACAGGGTTCTCCCACTGCAAACATTCAATGGCCTCACTGATTTGAGCAAGTATGAAAGATAGTCTAAAAAGTCTCTTAAAGAAATTATAGTCCTATAGGATAAAGAGCAGGAACAACAGCATATTCATTATAGATTTTAAACTCAGCAGGGTTTTCCGCTGGGCCTCAACTAAGCAAAAAATGATTCTGTTAAATACAATTTGGCTCCAATTCTTAAAATAGATATTTTAGTATTTAATATTATAAAAGCCATCAGATAAAATGCCACAACACATTGTAAACTATTTATAGTTATCAAAGCCAGATCTTTAAAAACAGAAAAATAAGTTAAAGCAATTATCCTAGTAATGAAAAAACATTAACCAAGCAAAATCACTAAATAAATCATTTATGAATATTTGTTTACCCTTACTCAAAAAGAATCTATTATCTTGTTATCTGGCATTGTCTAGAAATAAGACATTGTTAACAAAAAGCTACCACCTGCATTACACACTGACACAAGTTTTCAAGAATTAGAATACCATGAAACACACAATACAACTATTCATGGAGCACCTGCTCAGAACATCTCAGTTCTAGTGCTTGCTCTGTCACTAACCTGTACTCCAACCCCAGAGCCTTGGCTTCCTATAATGGAATAATTTATTCCATCTGCTTGTTCCATTGCTTAAGGGAATTTACATCTACCTGACAGTGCTTGGGAAAACATAAAGCAATACATAAAATGCAAGAAATTATTACACTGAACTTCTTCTTCTTTGAAGATTCAATGGACTTTTTAAATGAGTGTCATGAAATTAAGA